AGTTACTTGAGCTTTAACCAGTTCTGATTTAATGACAGACTGCAGATCAGTGTATGACACACCTGTGGTGGCAGCAAGTTTCTCCAGAGATGGCTTATCAAGACCAAACTCAGCTACATATTCTCTGACAACTATAACCATCATGCTTATATCAACAGCAGTAGAAAGTCCAGGAAGTAGAACACCTGCTACACCTGCAGACAGAGTAGAGTAGTATTTTATTTTGGACTGAAATGCTTCTTTCTTTTTCCTGATGATCTCCTGGTTGATTTTGGGCATGTCCAGCAGCAGAGCATCTCTCTGCACATCAAGTTCTTTCTCTAGGGTCTTACGTAACAGAGGGAAGTCGTACAGGCCAGGCTCAAAGCTGGACACCAGGAAGACCTGTGGACACTCGATGCCTTGTTTCTGAAGACCTGAGTAATAAAAGAAACATAACACAACCACAGTTTTCACAATCTAAATAAATAATTCCTAACTTTGGGATAGTAAATTGTTTACTTAACAAAAGAAAAACTCACCTTCAACACAGTTTTTTCTGATTTTTGACAGAGTCCCCTCTGCAGTGAAGTCTTTCTTTCTTTTCCCAACATTTATGTCATTGTCTGTCTTTGAATGAACAAAGTAGAACTTTTTCATCATCCTCTGAATCTCCTTAGCGAGTTTCACATCGTTTTCTGTGAGATGATCAGCTGAGACGATGATGTAGAAGTCATACTTCTTAAATGGAACAGACCTCAGGTATTTGTCAGCTGGATACTTCGGGGTGCCAATTCCAGGAAGATCCCATAAGGAAACATTGGGATAGTCTGGATGGAAGTATGGTATAGGATCCTTTGAGGATTCTGCAACATCAGTAGGAGCGGCTCCGTCATCTTCATCACCGATGCCTCTGAAGGCATTAATAAAGGTGGATTTACCAGAACTAGATTCTCCTGTGATGGCGATATATAGTGGAATCTTCCTGGGTTCTTTTAAATATTGTTTGATTTGTGCAGCAGCTGCAGCAGCATTATTGTTTTTCAGTTTATTTTTGACTCCAGAAATGAAGTCCTCCATGCTGATTCCTAAACAGGAGAAAAAGCTGTTACCTTGCCTTGTTATGTTTTTGTTTTTACATTTTTGTTTTAGTTTTCTTTTGGCTTTGTCTTTAAAATTTTATATCTTTATTTAATGTTCATTATATTATTGCATGACGGATGTCTCAGTTTAAAAAAATGTGATGATTTTTACAAATTACACATCACTATAAAAGGTTACAAGAAAATTTTCTCAAGGAGGTATGCAATGCTGGATATTTAAATTGAAGCATATAAAGAGATTTATAGGAAAATGATCTTAAATTATACTCCAGAAACAGAAAGGTAATAATACCAAGTACATTAAAGCAAAATGGGAAAAGAACTAAACACCGAAAACACTTGGGCTACGTTCACACTGGTCTTAATGCTCAATTCCGATTTTTTTTTTATCAAATCCGATTTTTTTGTCTGCTCGTTCACCCTACAAATAAAATGCGACAGCAAACGTGCTCTAGTGTGAACGCTCTTAGCGGCCGCATGCACAAAAGAAGATGTCACACACAACGCGCTCGGTTTAGATCCAGAGCAAACAGTATTGTTTGACTGATGACCCTTAATATAAAGACTTCGGACTTTACGTTTCCCAATTTTTGCTTTAAGTTATTTTGTTATTTACATAATAATGTAAATAACCGAATAATGATCCTTATTGCTGTTTTAGAGGAGCGGTGCTTCAAAGGATAGTTGCTGAATTCTGTCACAATCTGCAGATTATACAGAACAAATAAAATGTTCACGTTGTCTTCCCAAAAGTTTCACTGGATGGCCAGGAAGCGTTCGCGATACCTTCTCCGGAGCTGATAATCGGCGTCTGTCTTGTGTCAGTGACATAAAAGATGGATTTAATGCGACATGACCATCAAACAGCAGTCGCTTTCAAAAGCATCAGATATGTATTCAGTACCACATACGAAAGTGACCCAGATCGGATTTGAAAATATTGGATTTGTGCCGTTCAAACTGTCATACCGTGATCGGATATGGGTCGCATAGGTTAAAAAAAAATCTGATTTGATGCACTTTCGCCTGCAGTGTGAATGTAGCCTTAGTGATCCCAGCTGAGACACATTTTTTTCTAAACACCAGGGCCCGTATCCCTAAAGAATCTTTGTGCAAAAAGTGGCTCCTAGCGGCCAAATTCTAAGAAAATTCTCAGAGTCATGACGTTTTCTTAGAATTTCCCCTAAAAGTGACACGACAATCCCAGTTAATATAAAAGCTATTCCTCAAGATTCCTAGCGCTTAAAAGG